TTAGTGAACAAAGATCTCCCTGTGGCGTACGCAAACTGGACAGAGAGGCATAAACAGAGAAATGCTGTGATAATTTCTTTGGTGGTGGAGATCAAGGACAAGCCGAAGAAGCTGCTGTCGGAGGTTTGTACATATGCTTTATTTTTTGAACATACTTTATAATTTCCTAGGATAAAGCTTGCAGGTCTTGTGTAAGTATTTGGAATATCCCGGAGATATTTGGTTTTTCTGTTAATTGTTGTTGCATAACAGTGAGCAGCTTATTATTGAACCTGTTAGTATTCTTACAATTGCATATTTATCCCTCTAGGATGAGGATGGTGTGAGCTCGGGGAGCAAGCTTCAAGATCAGGAGGAGGATGGAGGTCATGATGATCAGTCTCTATCCAAAGACAGTAAGGATTCTGTTTCTAGATCACCAGAGAATCAGTCCCCAACACATGATTCATACCAAGGCAGTGACGATGAGCTCAACTCCACGCTGTCAGATTCAGAAAAGAATCTTGTTATATCAAAATCAGGTGATGACTTGCAAAAAGAAACTGAGTATTCAAGGAATGTGAACGATCAAGATGATCCTGTTGGTGAAGGAACTCCTTTCTCTTCTGGTGGTGGTGATGTCTGGCAAGCACCCGAAATGCCACATTCTTACTATGATTCTGCTGAGCCCCATGAATATTCAGCCAGTGGAATGCCACTCACAAACCCACAAGGAAATGAAGAGCAGGAAACCCATCTGATTGATCTAGAATCTGACTTGCGTCAGGAAGAGACCAGTAAAAAATTACACAGGCAATCAGGTGATGGATCCTTCAGTTATCCAAACCAAGATCGTAGTGATTTGCTCCAATCTCTATTCAAGGGAGAGGGAGTGTTACCTTACCATCAAGAACAAAAAGGAGCTGGGTTAGATTTCCTGAGTTCTAACAATGTCATGATAGGGGATGGTCAATTTTCTGGTCATTTCAAGGAGCCCTTGCCGACGTCATTTACACTGGACCAGGGGCATCGGAGACCTAGTGAGGTTTACATGCCTGAAAATATTTCAGATAATATTTATTCTGATGGAGGCAGCCGATACATGATTCCCAGGCAGGATCCATTATCTGCAGTTAATATGAGTGATTGGGCTGGTAATGCTTCCCGCTTACCTGCACCTCCTCAGTCTCACTTGAATACGGGAGAATTCATTGGCCAGCACTGGTTTCCTGCTGACCATCAAGTTCGTGGTACCTGGAGCGGATCTGATGGCGGTAGTCTGCCAAGTCAGAGTCTTAGCACAGGGGGCAATTCTGATCAAAGCTTATTCAGTGTTCTGTCTCAGTGTAACCAGTTACGAGCAGCAAATCCATATGATCCAGTCAGACACACTGACCAATTCGTTACAACCAGATCATATGGGGCAGTAGATGCAAGCACAGCCAGGCTCAATGCAGCTGTACCTCAAGCTTCTCATCCGCTAGACTATTTAAGTGGACGTGAGGCTCATAGTTCTTTGCTGCCTGATGATTCGGCATGGATGAACTTGCCACATCAGAATCCTGCTTTACTCGACCAAATGGGAAAGCCATACCTGAGGTCATGGAATCGGTGATGAATTTTTGCCCTTTGCAAGTGTTTTCAGGGTTTAGAGCTTGATTGTAAGGCAAAAAGAAGAGATGAGGGATGCACATTCTGTGTATTTTTAGTATTTTTGTGACTTGAGATCCACAGAAGCAGTGTGCACATACCCTGTGATTAGTAGGTCTTTGTACATACCTATACCAAGGTCAACTTAAAACACCTTGTATATACCTAGATGTTAGATGGCCAGGCAGGCAGGCAGGCAGGCAGCCAAAGAGAGGGTAAGGAGTTCTAGAATCTCATGTTAGGCAAGTTACAGTTTACATTCTTATTTTCCATTTTTTCCCCTTTGTTTCTCGAGAGATATTCTTTAATAATTCTGGAAGGTATGAAATTGTGGGGCAAGTGCCTTTTTTCTGATTGGAAAAAAACTCGTCTGGGTTATTTGTTGTTTGACTTTGGATGATGATGCTGAAGGTAAGCAATCTTTCTCGTGCGATGAACTAAATAAAGTCGTCGAGTGGAGAAGGCCTTGACGCACGACGGTTCCTAGTTTTATCCTTGTCTTGTTTTGCCTTCTGTTTAATCAAGACGGGCTATGACTCTGCTAATGCCTTTGGATCTTTGCAATAAAAACTGGATCTGATTTAGTTAATTGGTCAAAATGGCAAGTGATTCAGGGTTCCACATTCCGTAGCCATGGCTCCAGCTTCGAGCCTTCCACAGAAGGCTAAGCTTGAACGTAATATACAAGTTAGATGGCGGTGATCCACAAGCTTCCAAATGATTGCTTTGACCTCCACGGCCTGGAAACTTACAATGATGGTGTACGGTGTCATCGCATTGTCGGCATTTCTTCAGCCACACATCACCATCCAATCCATCCGATAATCTCCCTGATATCTAGTAATAGTTAAAATTGTCCACTGGTTTGATCGTAAGAAAAATAATAAAGAAAACGAAAGATTTTAGCAAAAGAAAGAAAGTCTCGTTATCGTCATATTTTTTGAATCAAAAGGAAAGATTTCTATTCATCCAAAAAAAAAACACTATACAGGAGAAAGACATTACAGGAAAATTCTAAGAACAGAAAAATTCTTTACAGTGTGGTCAACTTTAATTCTAATGTCAGCAAGTATACTTTCTATCGTGTAAGTCTCAGAGGTAAAAATGCGATGGTTCCTGACTTCCCATAATTTCCAGTAAGTTATGCAAAGCCCAATCTTCCAAGAAATATCCAGGCTTGAATCCCCTAATTTTTTATTGAGCCAAGGCACCACATCATTCCTGAAAAAGTCGATGCACATGTCTTGTGGGAGAACTTTCTTCCAAACTGAGGATGCTAACGGGCAATTCTTAAAGACATGATTAATATCTTCTTCATTTGCATTACAAAGAGTGCAGTGGCTTTCCATACTCATTCCTCTCTATGGCGTTCAGAATTAGTGAGTAGCTTTCTTTTAATAAGCAGCCAAGTGAAGGTCCGTATTTTCTGCGCCATGGGGAGCTTCCATATCTGAGTCCAGTTTATATCAGCAACGTTCCAATTAAGACACTCAATAGCTTGATAGGCTGATTTTGTTGTGAAATCTCCGTTGGTGTGAGGTTCCAATAACAAGAAGGGGCACAAGGGGTCTGGGCAATTTTGGTGGAAGAAATTTCCTGCAGAATATTTGGTGGCAACAAGTGGTCAAACAAGTGCCATCTCCAACCACCATTTGAATCAATATAATGAGGAATTGTTCGTGAGAGATCAGATTCAGAGATAGGGGCAAAGGAAAGATTTTTTAAGGGTCCACAATCACCAACCCAATAATCTGACCAAAATCTTATCTTATGACCATCCCCAGGTTTCCATTTAACATGAAAGGAAGCTTCTTGCCATATTTTAGCTATATTCCTCCAAAAGTAAGAGGAGTGAGATCTGGCAAGAGCAATAGATTCTATTGTGCCCTCAAGCCCATATTTACCTTTTAAGACTTTGACCCAAAGAGTGTCAGGCTGTGAGAACATATGGTAAATAAGCTTGGATAAGAGAGCCTTATTTTGTGATTCAAATCTAAGAATTCCACAACCACCATTCCTCAAAGGCTGACAAAGTTCACTCCATTTGACTAGGCTCACCCCACGATGATCATCAGAGTAGCCCCAAATAAATTTCCTTATAATTTTTTCGATTTCATTGCAACAAGAAGCAGGAAGCAAAGTACTTTGCATAGCATATAAAGGAACAGAAGAAAGAACAGACTTGGCCAAAGTGATGCGACCAGCGAGAGAGAGAGATCGACTTTTCCATCCAGCAAGCTTAGAATGAATTCTTTCAAGAACATATTTATAAGTGCTTGAAGAAACTCTCCCAGTAATCAAAGGTACACCCAGATACTTGCCAAGTGATTCAGTTTGATTATAGCCCAGTTCATTACAAATATGCCTTCTGATGCTTGAATGAACATTGTTAGAGAAATATATTTTAGTCTTGGATTGGCTGATCTTATGCCCAGAAGACTTACAAAAATCTTGTAGAATTCGTTTAATCACAACCAATTGAGTAGATGTGGTGTGACCAAAAATGATTAAGTCATCGGCAAAGAATAAGTGTGAAAGAGGTACACCATTACGCCCCATTTTGATAGTTTTCCATACCCCTTTGTTTACTTCAGCTGTGATAGCTTGTGAAAGACGTTCCATGCAAAGTACAAAGATATATGGTGACAAAGGATCACCTTGTCTAATTCCCCTCATAGGAACAAAAGGGGTTGAAGGTTTACCATTCCACAAGACTTGCATAGTAGGAGATGTGATACAGTTCATAATAAGCCTAACCATAGCATCAGGCAAACCAACATCCTGTAGTGTGTCCTCAATGAAATCCCATCTTAATTTGTCAAAAGCTTTTTCAAGATCTATTTTTATGGCCATCCATCCTTCTTTACCTCGCTTTTTTCTCATGGAGTGAACAGTTTCTTGAGCTATAATGATATTATCAATAATGCTTCGCCCTTGAATGAAACTGGATTGGTAGGGGCTTATAAGATTTGGCAAGAGCACCCTTAGTCTATTCGCAATAACCTTGGACACTATTTTATAAGCAACAGGGCATAAACTGATAGGTCGAAATTCACTAATATAACTGGGCTTGTTAACTTTAGGAATCAAAGCAATAAGAGTACGATTCAAGAAAGGGTCTCGTTATCGTCATATTTTAAACCCACAATTGAGACCCTTTTAAAGAAAATTATATTTTTTTATATTTCTAGACGGGAGCATATCTGCATTTTTTTTTCATTCAATTACAAATGAATAAACCTTTTTCTTCTCATTTTTTGTGATTTTCTGAGAATTGTCTGCCCGAGAAACTTTCTAATTAAAATTCTGAAATTAATCAACTCATCAATTATAATTATAGCTTCAAGAATTTATATCTTGCATTTTATTCTGCCTTCGAAGTCCGGAGAAGAAACCGAAGAAAAAGGAAGGAAACCGAAGAATCGTTTGTGAGAAAACGCAAGGTGTATGACCAACTGTGAGGGGCATGAGTTTTATTACAGAAACTTGTTGGTGTTTCCGCTTTTAGGCGCGGTTCTTGTAGTTGTCCTTTGAAGTGCCTCTACCTTGTCTGCTAAGCATGAATTGATTCTGCGATAGTTGATAAAGAAACCCTACTGTATCATCTACCTTCTTGTTAACAATGTTATAAACGATTCCATTAGGTCCTCACTGATTGTAGTTCCAAGGTGGGTGCTGGGTGAGGGAGGGAGTCTCAGAGACAAGGAGACGACTTAATATAGGAGGTTGCAAGTAAAAATGGCTCATCCGCATTCCCACGGAGCCGATCACAAAAGGAAAGAAGTCATCCGTTTAGAGCGCGAATCGGTTATTCCAATTCTGAAGCCCAGGCTTATCATGACGTTGGCCAACCTTATCGGTATGTTGTAACCTTGTTCTCTAGCGCCACATACTCCAGCTTCGCATATGAAATTGTTTAAATGTTGTTGCGGTCTTTCTTCTTGTCAAAGGCGCTCTGTTCGTTCTGTTTGCACGTTGCACTGTTGTCTTTTTGTAGTCCATGGATTGAAGGTATATCAAGTGTCGCGTTTAGATTTCTTGCGGGGAAATACTAGTGATTGATAATTTTTAATGTAAGTGAACTACACTTTCATTAATGGATTTCTTCGGTGAAGTTTTCTTGTCCGTTGCCTTTCGGTCAATCTTTGAGAAATAGTATTGACTTCACATCAAAAGCAAAATTCGGACAAGTTTCCGTCACGAACTCTTTCCCTAATCAAATTTAATTACTTAGTAGTTTTATGACTGCAAACTTAGCGTCTTAGTTTAGCTGAAAATTAAAATAAGAATAGCTTCTCCCTTTCATCCAAAATTGCTATCCTCTTCCTGGCTTTTGAGTCATTTGACTTGTCCGCAGAACATAGTTCGGACCGAGCGGAGTTTTTGAAGCTCTGCAAGAGAGTAGAGTATACAATTCGAGCCTGGTACCTTCTACAATTTGAGGATTTGATGGTATTCTTCTTTCCTTGACCTTCTGGAGGTATAGTTGTTGATACATTGTGGAGCCTGATTATTTTGTGCCACAGCAACTCTACTCCCTCTTTGACCCCGTGCATGGGGCCCAGAAGCTGGAACAACAGAATTTAGCTCCTGAAGAAATTGATGTTCTTGAACAGAATTTTTTGACATACCTATTTCAGGTATAGTGATTACAAACTCTGCGTAGTTATCTCATTAATATAATTGAGACTTGATGACCTCTCACAGTGACTCAAATAAGAGAACATTGCACAGTCTGTCACTAGTCTTTGCAAATAACTTGTATAATGGTCTCCATTAGCATATTTGCATCCTCAAACGCTAGTATCATGTTCTGACGGTTTGAAGTAAGATGATCCTCACTCCCCTGCAATGCCCATTAGGCTATTCGATATTTTAATCTAGATCCGTTTGTGTAACAGAGACTTGGGAATTACTTTTGTTGATAGTTATAGAGGAAACATTGCATGGTCAGGGTGAGTCTGGGTGTCAAATGATGGCTTAAATTTAATCGCTATGTGTCTCTTTTTTGTGAATAACTATTCCAAAACCGGACAAGGCATTTGGAAAATGACATTTTGATGACAAAAAATGTGGGAGCTGAGTGAGCCGAAGTCGTATTACGTGTATCTCTTAAATGCCCATTCTTTTTTTTTTTTTTTTTTTTTTTTTGGGGATGAACTTAAATACCCATTCTTTATAGTTTATTGGATTCTCTATGCAGGTAATGGAAAAGAGCAACTTCAAGGTAGCAACTGATGATGAGGTTGATCTTGCACTTTCAGGGCAGTATCTTCTAAATCTTCCCATTACTGTTGATGAATCTAAGGTTTGTGCTGATTCTTATGCTTTATAATAGTTCATAATTTCTCTATGCAACCATGCGTATATAATGAGCATGCTATTTGGGTCTCTGATGTCATAGGTCATTTGGGATAGTTGATTGTGCACCTAACATTTGATGGTCTTTGTGCATTTGCTGTATTTAGCTTGACAAGAGGCTTTTGAAGAAATATTTTGAAAATCATCATCATGACAACCTTCCAGATTTCTCTGATAAGGTAAGGTCTTAAATTATTCGTTTTTGTAAACAGCAATGAAGTATTATATGCCTTTGTACTACTGCTTTGATGCTGTACTATCAGCCGATTTCTGATGGCAGAAAAACGTTGACTTCTTTTTATTGCTCTCACTTGAGAGCTAATGCATGACTGTTATATTGTTCCTTGTTATTGGCTTGTTTTGCAATCTAATGCTTCCTATTTTTCTAGTATGTTATTTTTCGCCGTGGCATTGGAATTGATCGAACAACTGATTACTTTTTTATGGAGAAAGTAGACATGATCATTGGACGTTTTTGGGCATATCTATTAAGACTAACTAGGTGAGCATACTTTTGGACTGTTGACTGAGTTTGTTGATTCTATTGAAGAAACTATTAAAATGTTATTAGATATCTGATTTCCAAATCCTGCAGAAGTCTTTGAAGCCATTACATGCTGCATGAATCTGAGACCTTTTCTTGTTTGTTTGCCTTGTAATAATTAATGTAATAAACTCCACCTGTGCACTGGAAGGATTTGTCTTTGGATGTGTATAATTGCTAGTATACGTGAACACATTGAAATGAACATAGCATCCTTATGCTTGCTTCTGAAACATGATAGAAATTGTGGTTCTTGTAGGTTGGAAAAGTTACTTTCTCGAAGGTCAAAAAGACATCATAAGAAAGATCTGAAGAAGGATGATGATATTACCTCTGAAGCAGAGCAAGATGACCTCTATGTTGAACGGCTACGCTTAGAAAATATGGAACTAAGGTCTTTATTCATCTTGTGTGGGTTGTTGCTTTTGTTGTATGTGTTTTCTTCTTCTCTTTTTGGGCTAGGGTTCTTCAATGTGCCATTACTTTATAACTTTTATGTTGATCTATAATATCTTGACTTAGATGGTGGCCATTCAGCTATTTATATCAAGCTTCCTGATGGTTTTTTTAGGACTTTTGTGAAACCTTAATTTTGGTAGTTTCCATTCAACTAGTGTTTTAGATTTACATCACATGAGATTTTCAGTATTACACGTTAGTTACTTTGAAATCACGTTCATCACATTCATATTGTTCCAACCATGGGAAGGAGTTCACAATGAACATGTAAAGGCTGATAGTTGGTCGGCAAAAAAAACAAGGGCTGATGGTCAACCGGGACCAAAGTTTGACGATTTCTTCAGCTGAGGTATTAGTGCTTAGAAAACAAAGCTGTGTTGAGAAATCTCTAACTTCTATTAAATGGATATTGGCTGGAGTCTGGACTGACTTGTAGATCTGGAAGATATGATCAAATGCTTTAAACTGCATGCACTGTCGGTCTATTTCTCTGTACCAGGTTCATGCATCTAAACTGCATAATTTGATGACCTGGACTTTGAAATTCATGAGATTGTTTGCTGCCACTTTCAGTTTTCGCAATTTGCTGAGCAAGACCACCATACAGGAACCTACCTTTGATAGGATAATTGTTGTCTACAGGTGATCCTTCCTCAAACCTTCAAATGCTACAATGTTATTTTGTTTATAAACCTATGGTCCTGTCATCTGAGGATATAAGAATTGTTTTGAACAGTCTTCTTCCTGATTTAGTGGACATTCTATTTCCATTTCATAGCTCAATCCGCAGCTTCTCCAATATTGTAATTTGGTAGTGTGTGAAAACGTAAGGGATTGTCAATACATTCAGGGGTTTGGTCCATGTTGAGCAATGCTTGGAGTTAATCCAGATAATCCACACATGTTAATTCATTGAAATCTGAGGAAAATGATGATGCAGGCGAGCTAATACCAAGTCTAATGGTGAACGAGGAATATATGTAAAGCACTTCAAAAATATTCCAATGGCTGATATGGAGATAGTGCTCGTGAGTTACCTCTTTTACTGCCGCATCATCTTGCCCTTATTAGATCACTATAGTCTGAATCTATCAATGGCCTTATCTTTTAATGTACAAAAATTGATGACCTGGTAATGAACAATTTTACTTGACAGCCAGAAAAGAAAAACCCTGGATTGACTCCAATGGATTGGGTCAAGTTTCTTGGATCTGCTATAGTTGGTCTGGTTGGTTTTCCCCCCTATTACTACTACTTAATGCCCATTAAGCGTTTTTGTTTTCTATCCATTTTTCTCTCATGCACTTTTTTCCTCTTCTATTCACAGGTTGCAGTTATTAGCTCACTTGAAATGCCCAAAGCTGATTTATGGGTCCTGATGGCTGTTCTTGTCTCAGTCATTACTTATTGTGCTAAGACGTACTTCACGTAAGTCTGCAAATGGTCTCCTGTCATTGGAAACATATATTTTGCATGATTTGATGGGAGGGTTGCATGCCACTTCAGGATTTGTGTTTGTATCGAATTTTCTCTGCCAGTTGACTTACTTCATGGCTGTCTTTTGTCAAATCCCGTCTTATTTTCAATGGATGTTTAAATTCCCGTAGGTTCCAACAGAACATGGCTGCATACCAAAACTTGATTACACAGTCAATGTATGACAAGCAACTGGATAGTGGAAAGGGTACACTCCTTCACTTGTGTGATGATGTCATTCAACAGGAAGTAAGTGCTGGCTTTATATGCTGTGTCACTACAAACAATTTTGATTTCTGATAAGGTGGTAGTTGATAATTTTTGTTAATTGTTGACTACAGTGGTTAGACTATTAATTGCCCCCCTGAGTTTTATCAAAAACAAATTCTTTCTTAACTAAAAGGATGAAATTGGCTGATATTATGTCAGCATAGATGACTTGATAGAAGGCCAACACCTAACTCTGAGTATCAGGCCATTTTGTGCTGTTGCTGTTTATGTATATGTACTAGTCAAACATTTGAGGGTACTAATCTCAAACTTTGATCTGCAGGTCAAAGAGGTGATTGTTTCATTCTTTATTTTGATGGAGCAGGGCAAAGCTACAAGACAGGTGTAGTTGTCGATATTTATGGATTGTATTCTACACATTACACCCTTTTTATTTAGTAATTTTTTTTTTTATACTTTCACCAATATGCTCATAAACGGATTGATCGTCAAACAAGTAAACGTATTCATGGTTGCTAGTTCTACTGTTGTCCAACTGTGGTCAGGTCAAATCAGTGATAAGTAAATATAATAAAAATATAATATAAAAAGTAACAACAAAGCTAATCTAGTTTTCGCGTGTGCACACAAAAAACCCAAAGAGATGTGCCTGTGAATTAGATTTTAAGTTTTGAGCCCTTATCAAACACCGGCCAGAGTATGATTTTTGTGGCTGGTTTAGTCTGCTTTTTTAAACCATGATTTATATTAGGGAAAAAAAATTTCTTTATAGTTTAGTAAAAGAGTATTGATACAACATATATGGTAATGTGAATCAGGATCTTGATCAATGGTGTGAGGAACTAATAAAAGAAGAATTTGGAGAGAGCTGTAATTTTGACGTGGATGATGCAGTTCACAAGTTAGAGAAGTTCGGAATAGTTACCCGGGTGAGACTCCTTGTTATTTTCTTCTTTGGCCAAAATGGTATTATCTGTAGGGAAGGATATAGTAAATTATTTGTAAGGAGATCGAATCTGAGTTTATTTTATTTCTGGTCTAAGTTGTTATGGCTTAATTCTGTAATTTTCATAGCATAAGCAGTTGAGGAAATAGTAGTTGAATTTGGAGTCTTGTTGCTGATTATGGGTTGTATAGTCTTTTTCATGCATCAATAATGCCCATGTTATGAATATCAGCAACTGCAATGATTGTATGTGAACTGAATAAATTTGCAAGTCACGGCATCCTGGCGAGCTGTGGCATACCGCGCACCTCTGGTTTGGTGATGATGCCATTGTCGAAAAGATATAATTCGTTGGAGTTTTTGTTTCACTTTTTAAACTTGTAGACCCAAAAATTGTAGCTTTGAAGATTATGTTCCTATCTGACTGGAAGCTCACCCGGAATATAGGATTCCATTGGCCGGTTTCAATGTGTTGGGCTGAAACGGGCCAACGAGATCATTGGAACAACCACTGAAGAGCTAGTCCTCAAGGCAAGACAGGGAAGCACTTCTCCTTGATGGCGTTCAAGGTTCTTGTTTTTTTATCTTTTTTCTTTTTCCAAAAAATCTTGTGTCTCGCACATGTAAAAATTTAAGTTATTGACATTGTGTCAATTCTGATCAGGTCTGAGGTTTAGATTCACTCGTCTCATGATTGAAGTTGGTCGATTCTTGTCCTGTGTAACTTTGATGTTAAATAGTTTCTATGTAACTTTGTGTCCCTTTGTGTTTACTACCTCCAAACTCTAGTCCTTAAATAAGAACCAATTTGATATTTGATTTGGTTTTAAATATGAGATTCCAATCTATTATATCTATCATTTTTTTTTTAAAGTAGTTTTTGTAATTGCATATATTAAAATTTTTATTAAATGGTAGTTCTAACTAATACATATGGTTAGCAAGGGTATTTTAGGAAACACAACACTTATTTATTATAAATAACCAACTTAATTATTTTTTTTAGTATACTCAAATTAGTTAATTAGTTCTTATATTAAAGACTAGAGATAATAGTATTTGTAATTTCTTATTCTTTGATCTGTTTAAATGCTGTGTTGGTTCAGAACTGAGCTTCCCTGGGCTCTGTTTAAGCTATCTAGGTTTATGGACTTAAAGAGTGTTTGGATAGAAATCAAACCATAATTTTAAAAGTATTTTTATGGTATACGAAATAAATATGTAAAAGGATTTGTCTTGTTTTGTGAAAAAATACTTTTTAAAAACACTTTCCCATGTTACCAAACACCTCTTTGCTAGCAAATGTTGTATGCAAATTAAGGGGAAAATCTCTAAACACCCTCATTGAGGAAACGACTGAGATCATTTTGCACTAAATGGCTCTAATCACACCAACTCGAAAATGTGGTGGTTTTGGCTTTAGGGGGCCTTCTGTGTTTTGTATCTCGAAAACGCAGAGACGAAGTCCTTGATGGAAAAACATAAAATACAAAATTTTTATGAAGTAATACTATTTATAAATTATTAATAATGCAATCTTAACGAAATTATTAATAAATTATAAATTGTATGTGTATATAATTTTTTAAATGAGATGAGACTTAAATAATGATATTTTCTAGAAAAGATTATTTAATTTAAACTACATTAAATTTCATCTAACGCTGAGATCTTGTATAGATAGCTTTTTTATCTTCAAAAATTAACTATGAATTCAATTAAAAATTTATGTTTGTTAATTAATTATTTATTTGTCTATAAAAACATGACACCTCAACGTGAACAGATCTTATTATCTTTATTCTTATGCTCTGATGACAGATATTTTAAATTTAATTTTTTCATGTCAAAATACATAAAATTTTTCTCAAGTTTATCTTAGTTGTACTTTGCCTCTCTTATCTTTAAAAGTTTAAAAATCACATTTTTAGCTTTCAAACTTAACCGACACCGCCCGGTCATTAAAATGAGTATTAGATTTAACGAACATATGCCACATCAAATTATTTAAAATTATTTGGTAGATGACATGCAATTTATTGTATTTAATTTATACTACTACTAACTTAATTTGTTAAAGGTCAAACTCGTGATTCCATCAACAGTAATCCCTAATTCCCTTTGTCGGGTCCCCAAAGCGTTATCATCTTGCTCTCTTCGTACTGGTTATCTGTGACACAGTTGCTTCATCTTTTGATTTTGAGCTCACAATGGACATTGTGAGGCACGTCGTGTGTGCGAACTGGAGGAAGAGTGAATGTTTGGAAGAAGAATTTTAAGGTCAGAATGAAGCGCAGCGGGGGTTTTCATAGTCACTGAAAAAATAGATTATCAAAAGCTAAAAGAAACGTTGCAAACAAGACGACTTGTGAGAGAGAGATCGCGGGACGATAACGCTACTAACTAGAGACCATGGGATTAGGGATTGCCATGGATAAAATCAAAAATTTACCTTTTAACAGTTAAACTGAGCATAGATTAGTAAAATATAATAAATTAAATGTCACCCGCCAAATAATTCAAAAAAAATCCTAGGTGACATAACTTCTGTTAAATCTAACACTCATTTTAATGGCAGGGTGTTATTGGCCAAAATTTGAAAGTTAAAAGTGTCATTTTTAAACTTTTAAAACGAGGGAAGTGAAGTGTACTATAAAACTGGAAGCCGTTCTGATAGAAAACAGTTACACTAGTGTACAATAGTGTAACCCTAGTAATCAGATAAAAGCCAGATATACAGCTAATAACAAGATAAGAGTCAGTCCTCATAAAGGGCATTATAGTACACTTGTACTGCAACTTGCATGAACACTTGGAAGGACTTTGTGCGACTTAAGAAAATCAGCATCCACCACATTAAACATTGGTCACAAATAGCCCAATTTCTTTCCGAAACAATAGTCAGCAGGAGAGCGTGAGCGAGCAAATATGCATACCATTTCGTGAGGAACTATACTCCTAAGTTTGACATCATATTCAAAAATAGTAGAATGAGAGATTTCACACTCACTAATCATCCAACATAAATGAGAGAAACATGCCCAGATGAATTGAATGAACACTTGGGGTTATAGTAAGGTTTGATGGAAACAGATACTCAGAAAATGGTTAAATGCTCGTATTTTCATTCCTGGTTAGAAAGCAAGTTCAAATAGGTCGCACACATTAGGAGTTAGCAGTGACAAGGATAAAAAAAAAAAAAAAAAGGTTAGGAGTTACGCAGTTTGATGAAGGCATATCTCGCGAAGGAGATTCCACCTGGTCTTGTTAACAAAATTTAAGCAGATGTATACACGGGTCTCAAGTTCTTCCATAAGGAGGAGAAAATTCTGAGAGTCCCTGCGAAGATGCTTGATGACCTCTTGCATGGCATATCTATTTTTACCCATCTCCAAGCCAAGGCAAACGGACCGCTTGTCAGCCTCAACCGCACCATGTAGCCGAGCAACAAGGCGATCAATCGTATCAAGATCTTTATTCAGGGTATATGTACCCTTCGAAGCGGCTTCAAGCTGCGCCAGTCGAGCAAGTTCCTTCTTTTTTGGGTTCCAAGTAGGAGAGGTATATGTAGGGCAAAGAGGAGCAGCAGCAGCAATGTCTACAATTGCATGAGTCGTGACAACAACGGCAGATACAACCACTCCTACGGCGGTGGCAATGAAGCAAAGTGCAGAACCATTGGTAGCACCACGAAGAAGGCGTAATTTGGAGCGAGACTTTCGGAGAGAACGATGAAGTTGTTGGTCGAGTTCAGAAAAGGAGTTACGCATGTTGCTGAAGTTATGTGAATCGCGGGAGGGAAAAGGATTGTCATGGCTATTGAATCTGAAGAAGACGTCGAATGCATTGTCACACTGGGCTTGAGTGATATGATTGGAATCAGAGGGAAGAACAGAGAGAAGGTCAAGAAGAGGAGCGTACATACTACGCACACAATTGAGACTTCGATGAAGTAGGAGGCAGAGTTCAGAGGCGGTCTCGCTGTGTTTGAAGTAGGTCGAGACGAGGCGGGTCAGAGAATTGGGCTTGGGTTGTGCGAGAGCTTCTTGGACGCAATCTCGGTCAGGTTGAAGCACCTGTTCCAGGATTTTCCTTTGAGAGTCTCCCTCGGCATACCCATTAACGAGCGCAGGGTGGTCTTGCGAAGGATCGCATCCAGCGGGGTCAAATACTTTTGACTGTACTATCGATCGAATCTCTTGGCAGGAATCGGCCTGTACAGCGCCATTGAATTCGCGAGACACCACATCTGGGGCGGGAGAGGACGGAGTGCTGGTAAGGGGAGTGGGCTCTGTCGAATACCCTGGCAGTCGAAGATTTAGTCAGACATTCATACAAACACGTATCGGGCGAAAAAAATAAGTCCTCTTCCACGAAGAAAAAGTAATTCGAAATATCAGTTTAGAAGGTGTGATTGACTGTGTGATACGATCTTGTAAACCGAAGTCGATGTCTCAAATCTGAGAGCCCCAACAAAGGAAGAATTAATTCTGACTTACCTTCGCAAGGAAGAGGCGGATTACGGACCGGAACAGACGCTGAAGACGACCTCAATGATCCGAATGGGAGACATTCCAGCATTCTCCGTTTCGTCAGTCTTCCTAAGAAGCTTATATATTCGGGGGCTCTTGTGAAAGTGTCTCACAGATCGATGACATCAAACTTGATTGGTGATTAACTTCTGTTAATTCAAAGAAATGGAGGCTCTTTGTAGCAGTCAGATCAGAGAGAGACAAGGCACGAATGAAACGACTTTATTGTTACGAATATGGATAGATGATATATTTTTTATTATTTTTTGGCAGATATAATTTTTTATTCATTTTTTTAGCTTTTTAAGGGGTGCTTAGGTGAAAACAATTCATCATCTTAAAAGTAATTTTATAAAATATAATGTAAGTATATGATAGAAATTTAATTTAAATTTATGTGAAAACACTTTTTAAAAATGTTTCCTATTTAACTAAACACCCTCTTAGTTGAACAAGATTTCCCCGCTAAATTTTTCATTTCTACTTCGTGGGTTTTTTTTATTTTAGATATATTAGCAAGCTGTGATAATTTTTTAAATGTCGTTTATATTTAGATGGATTATTGGTTTTTGATCGTTAATATTTGAATATAAAAATTTTAAAACTGGTTTATTAAATAAATGCACTCTAAAAAAAATTGGTGTGCTTTCTCCAATTTGATTTGTGATACAACGGTTGTTTCATACGGAGTATTTCATAATATAAGATGTTTTTTAAAAAAATTAATGATTAATTAATAACATCTTTTCAAAATATCCTCTATTAATTAGGATTTAGTGTTAAATGACAGAATTATTTTGATTTGAAAAAAAATTAAGATTCTTAACTATATTCAATGACATTTATTGATCTTTATAATTTACTCCAAAAGCAAATAATGAACAAAAGAGGATGAGCTTTTACATCATAACATCAAGCATAAAATCAAACTCCTAATAACTCATACAAACTTGTTTAGGAGAAGAGATTATATAAAAATCTTCGAGCACTGCTCTTTTGACATTTAAGATGCTGAACTCCCGAAAAATGAAGACCTATGGTATGGATAACCCCAAGATCATTAATGTTTATTAACACGGGAATCATATCGGGCATTCAGAAAATGGTAAGGAGCCCATATTTCCATTCCCAGTTAGCAAATAATAGGTAGCGACGTCGTGGACACTGAACGCTGCAAGTCTATAATCTTCAACAGAAATTTGAGTGGTAGGTTAGGAACTAGGTGTTTGATGAGGGCATATCTGGTGGAGGAGGTTCGATCTGGCCCTGTTAACAAAGTTTAGGCTGATGTATATATTTGTCTCAAGTTCCCTCATAAGCTGGCGAAAGCTCTCATGCCTCTTGCGCAGCAACTTGACGATCTCTTGGATGACGTATCTATCTTTACCCATCTGCAAACAAAGACGAACAGAATGCTTATCGGCCTCAACTGCTCCGTGCAGCAGAACAACAAGGCGATCAATTGAATCAAGATGTTGTTTTAGAGCAAAAGTAACCCTCGAAGCTGCTTCAAGCTGCGCCAATCGAGCAAGTTCCTTCTTTTTGGGGTTCTTAAATTGGGATAATACAGGGCAAACGGGAGCAGCAGCAACAGCGATGGCGACAAGTGCATGGGTTGTGACGACAATGGCAGTTGCAACCACTCCGACGGCGGTGGCGATGAAGCAAAGAGCTGAACCAGTAGTGGCACCATGGAGAAGGCGGGGTTTGGAGCTAGAATCTCGAAGATAGCGAAGTTGTTGGTCAAGTTCAGAAAAGGAACTGCGCATGTCGCTGATGTTAGGGGAATCATGGAGAGAGAACGGATTCTCTTGAGTATCAAATACTGAGAAGACGTCGAAGGCATCGTCACACTGAGATTGAGTAAGATGATTGGAATCGGAGAGAAGGTCACGAAAAGGAGCATACATGATACGCGCACAACGGAGATTTCGGAGAAGCCGAAGGCAGAGTTCAAAGGTGGCGTTGCTGTGTATGAAGAATGAAGAGACGAGGGGAGTCAGAGAATTGGACTTTAATTGTGTGAGAGCTTTTTGGACGCAATCTTGGTCAGGTTGAAGCAGCTTTTCCAGGAATCGCCTTTGGGAGTCTCCGTCGGCAGTGCCATCGACGAGCTGAGGTTGGTCTTGTGGGGGATCGTTTGAATCAGGGTCAAATACTTGTGACTCAATTACACATCGGATCTGCTTGAAGGAACTTCCCAGTACGGTGCGATTGAATTCGAGAGACACATTTGGGGTGGGCGACGAAGTGCTGGGCTCCGTCGAATACCCTGACAGTCAGATTCAGTGAGACGTTAATTCAAAGGCCATTTTCACGAAGAGTAAACAATTCGAAATATTTGTTTCGAAGGGTATAATTGTGTGTAGTGTGATCCTATAATCGAAATAGATACCCTAAATCCGAAAGCTGAGAGCTGCAGCCAAGAAAGGAAGAAGTTGAGTTACCCTGGAGAGGAGCAGGGGGAATAGGGCCCGAAGCAGACGCTGAAGATGACGTCAATGATCCGAAGGAGAGACATTGCACCATTCTTCGCGTTCCCAATCTTCCCCCACGCTTCTGCTTCGGTCTTCGTGGCGTCCCAGAAAGCAGAGAGACAAGGCGCGACGGCTATGAGTTCATTGAGATATCCTTAGGGGGTGTTTGCATATAACCAAACCATGATTTGAAGAATAGCTTCTAGAAAATAGATTCTGAAAAGAATAGATTTTGTGAAAAAGTGATTCTGAGAAGTGAGAGTGTTTGGATAGTTGTTACAAGAAACACTTTTTACATGTACAAATTACTAAAAAAGGCATAAGTTAATATGATAATTACAGAAAAAAAATATTTTATGATATATTTTAATTTGAAGGAATAAAATTGTTAATAATATATTTTTTATTAACATAATTAATAATACATAAGATAATATAATTAATAAATAATTAATATGTTTATAAAAAAATATAAGATACAAGATTAAATATATTTATAAAAAAATATGTTTATAAAAAAAATAACAAGATACATATCCTATAGGCTCTCACACTCTCTTTTTTTTTCCAAAAGCAAAAATTTTTTGCTTTTCCCAAAACCATGGTTTTGGTTTTTAAGGGTGTTTGGGTGATTTTTTCCCAAACCATGGTTTGGGTTATCACCCAAACACCCCCTTAGTGTATTCAAGAAAAGATAATCACAAAAGTATAAATCCATGTCAAATTTCCTTCTAATCTATTCTTCCTAAAAGCGTATACAAAAAGCAATCTAAAACATGATAAACCCCTTTTAATTATTCTTTCTAAGAGCTAAATTCATAAGCTCATTATGCTTTTCACCCCTACATTATTAAAAAATATTAAATTCACAGGCAGAACAGCTTAGAAACTCGTTAGTTTTAGTTCAATTTTTCATTTTTCAAACCGGAGCACAACATGTTAGAGACCCGTTTCAAATGGCTTAGCCTACAAGCAACTTTCTGGGAAGCAGCTCGTAAGCAGTTTATCTTCCGTACAAAATATGCAGCACTAAACAACCTACAACAAGACAGAAATCCAGGATCATACCTCAAGGCATCGTCAGTGAAAACGCCACCCTCCCTTCTAATTTATAAGCTGAACCCCACTTCGCTTCTTACGTTTTAGCCGATGTGGGACATCATAACAGGTATTCCACTTGCTGTGACCGTGTGCCAATGCATCAACGCCACTACTCCAAGTACACACTTCCTGGCCACCATCTAACCAATTGCATAGTGTTGTCAGAGTCCTCGTCCATTCCCAAAGAAAATGAACCCAAATCAAAGTCTTGTGATGATGCCCATAACGTGATGTTTTGTCTCTCCCCTGTTACTTTGTCGAGTCCTCTAAGGATCATGTTAATATATAGATTTCATCATGGTGAGATCTCCTGTTGTTAACACACATTTAATCTCGCAGCCAATTGCATTGATCATTGTCCACAACCTACGCCGTTATTCCTTTAACTCGGACTGGATCAAATTTAAGATCTTTCGTAAGTGCTCCCGGAAGTAGAGCAAGCATTGATGGAATGGAAATTAATGTAGGATAGGAATATCAGAAACTCATAAACACACATAGCCACACCAACCCAATCATCACTCTCATATTAACAACAAATAATGGTTTACAAGATTTCTCATACATCTTTATGGTAAAAAAATGAATAAAATAAATTGTTCACTGGCTCATGGAAAGAGGAGGAAATGACAGCTGCTCTTTGTACACTTATCAAGCGGCTTTACAGATTCTCTGGTATCCATCGGGAGAAGAATAAGAAAGCAAGATATAATCACAAATGTATACTGACAATTTGGACGCCGACAATGCTTCTTTCTCTTTACCTTGTCGCTTTGAATAACTGGCTTCCAAGGGTCACAGTTGGGGTGCCTTCGCCCATCATAGTTGTCAAGTTCATTTCCTTCTCAAGAATCCGTTCAAGTTCCATTACGACATAACTCATGGAAGGTCTTCTCTCACTTGAAGGGCTCAAACATCGAGCTACCAGCAAGATAAACTCTTCCATGCCTTCCGCTGTGAAACTGCTCCCCAATCTCTGATCAATGATGTTAGACATAATGCGATGGTCTTCATTGACTTGCACCTTCATTAGAGGAAAAAAGTAATAAATACATGTCGAACACCAAATAGTTGCCAGTTTTTCTGGTGAACTTCAACAAGTCCTGAGAAATGGCTGGATTAGACATGACCACATACCCATTCAACTAGATTCTGATTAGAATCTGAGGTTGGAGATTCTGTTGCTTCCTTCCCACTTAATAGCTCCAACAAAAATACCCCAAAACTGTATACATCACTCCTTTCAGAAAATCGTCTGAACTCTCTAACCCTGCATAAGAATATGGCACGCAAGTCAAGAGAAGTGTACAGTTACAGGTACAACTACAATGGACGCATATCAGTAATGTGCATCATTCTCAGAGTTATTACTCGGGTGCAAGGAATATCTCATCTGCTGCAACTTGAGAAGATGGACCTGCAATATCAGCTCTTCCCAGGAAATTACGAAGTCCAGCGTCTGCAACCTTAGCAATGAAATTTTCATCGACAAGAACATTGGCTGTCTTGAAATTCTTGTGCACCAAACGGGGGCTCAAGGAATGAATATAAGCCAAACCTGCTTAGGAAAAGATGAATGAGCTTTTTGTAAATCGCGGACCAGTGCCTCAGACCCTTTATGCATAAATAAGGGATTACCAAGAAACTGAAAGTTTTAAGGTGGCTTACGAAAGAACTTGTGGGGTCCATTCAGATACTGGGATATTTTATCTAAAAAGAAGAAAACTGATACCAGGAAAGCCACAAATGCTCACTGATTTTGCAGAGGATCACCTGTAGCTGCACCTAGAGCTATTGAAAGTCTAAGCTTGAATTCTAGCTTCTCTTTCGATTGTTGACCAGCACCTGCAGAGAGAAATAGAATGGATATGCATAAACTCTAAGAACGAATGGTGCGTTAAGCTAAAAGGAGGGAAGAAGAATCTTTTATGACATGCAACACGAACAAAGTTATAGCTTGGCATGCACGTCGCATGAAACGCAGGCTAAGAGAAAACCAATTTTCGTGCTATTGAGTGCAGATAAAATCCATAACTTGTGGAGGCAAATATATAAATATATATATATATGAAGTGTGATTAACAAGGAGTACAGTGACTGCATAGAAATTTACCATACAAGTGACTAGAGACGCTCCCATTAGGCACATATTCGTATATAAGAAACTGCAGATTTTGTTCCTGGCAGTAGCCCAATAGAGTTACAAGATTCCGATGATGAATGGATGAGAGGTAACGAGCCTGAAGTCAAACTCAGTCCTATTAGATCAAAGCCGAAAAAAATGAACAAATACGAGATGCCATAAATTTGAACCCTGAAACTAGATCCAAATAGCGAATCCGTTCCAAGTCAAAACTGAGGTGAGAGTGGCTGGTCAAGAACAATAAATGATAAATCCCACTGCAGTTGGCTGGACTTTGTGGTGAGATAGAAATACTGATTGCTTACATTGTATCCATGAGAAAGAAGAAAGATACGATTAGAATGAGTTGATGGGTAAAGAAAATTTTAGCATTCCAAACCAACTATAAGGTAAGCGGGGAACAACTCAATCAAGAAACTCGCAACCAATCATCCCTATTCCCCAGAGAATATCATCATGAAGAGTTCTAGTTATTAGCAAGACAAATCGCTTCCCTTGAATTATATTATATCACAGTGTCTTATAAAACCAAGTTTTGGAGACAGAGAACTGATAACTACCTCATCAACAAATTCCTGGCTTGGAAATCCCTGCCGCTTTTTGATGGCCACAAGCATACCATCATGAAGTAAGCCTTTGTAGACCTCCCCAAACTTCCCTTCTCCGATCAAATTTTTGTCACTGAAATTCTTTGTAGCCTGAGATAGTTCTTCCATCTCAAACCGCCTAGTATCCCGCGAAGTCAACTCAATCCCACCATGTCTTCCCACTGTGTTAAATGGAAGAATACAAGAATGGGTTTGTTGTTCATACCACTCGTATCCCTTAAGAAAACTGGCATGCATGTTTCAGACAGAAGTTACCTTGGGAAGGATCAGAGGACCCGGTCTCTGAAGTCCTTGAGACACTCCTCCTGCGAGATAGGCAGAAGCATATGAGTGCTATAACTATCCCTACCAATGCCACGGCCCCTGCAGCTCCTCCTACTATCGCTGCAAGAGACCCTGACATCGGGTATGGCAATCACTTCACTCTGTGCTTTACAGTATTAATAGCAAGTATTATACATAGAACCTGAAATCCAGAGAATAGCAGAAAATCAAAAAGAGCGGACCGCATTGAATGTTGGACCAATGCAAAAGATATTAATGAAGTGCAGGACACATGCAGCGAGTAATCCACAATCAAACTTGAAAGAAGAAAATCAATTATGCTGGAAAAAGTTGGAATGTAATGAATCGGCTGCAAGCCATTATAAGAATGAAGACCGGTTTCAAGCTATAAGATTGAAAAATAACACACTTGGAAAAAGGCGCACGGATCTCAACCAAATGCATGTTTGTTTCTAATAATTGGATCTTGCAAAATGGCATTATATCTGCGTATAGTTGAAATTAGAAGGTGAGGCGAAGTGGAATTACAGATATAACAGAGGTGGAATTTCTGTCAAATCTGCAGAGCTGTATCTCCAGGTAAATGATAGCGTGGGATCTCAGACAGCCTGAGCTTCATTTACCAATGACAATCCGAATGAAACTCCATCGTCATTTATTGCCAAAATCGAGATTCACCCACATTCCCCCCAAATGAGCCAGTTATCTATACTTGACATAAACCTAACAATCAAAACAAGATATTCAGTAATTGAACTCAGGAAATAAATACAGAAAGAGAAACTGGGGGCATCAAAAGCAACCACAAAGCCCTTTAGATGAAGACTGAGTTTTGACGTTCCAGTTAATGATACAAGAGAACGCCCTGAATAGCGAGGTCCAATTCAATAGGCCTTCTCAATGTCGTTAAGACTGTAAGTAACAAAAACCCAGAACGAGGAGAAGAAGCACCTCTCTATCTCCGTTGTCCTTTAACTGAATTAATTAGAATACTCTCTGAGGGTATCATCGTTGGATACAAACAATGCCGACAGAAAGTGACCCTGCGCCGACAAACACTTTCGAGTTTATAACTACTTCCTCTACCAAACCATCCAATTCAGCAAATGATCAGCATATACATGTAAACCCACAAATACAGAAGGGACCCTTTTGATTGATTCTCCTTGATGCTTCCAGCCGAGCTAAAATCAAATCGAAGCCGAGATGATTGAAGCAGAAGAAGAAAGAATAGAAGACGGAGATATGAAGTGGACACACAGAGAGAGAGAGAGAGAGAGAGGACTAAGCGACAGAGAGAGAGAGAGAGAAATTGATTTATTCACATTTAGTTTGAATATATTTGTAGGCTGTAAAGTGGCATATTTGTTGTCTGATACGCAGGATGAATTGGTTTATTTTCTGTGTCGTGTACAGGGCATCTTGGCTGTAACAGATTCACAGAGAAGAAAGAGAGTGAGAGAAGAAGAAGAGAAGGGGGTGGGTGGTGAGAAAGAAGACCCGCTCAATACAAGTGTAAAATCCGAGGGATGAAACAAAGAACTTACTTACAGAAGAAGATGAAATTAAACAAAGGAAAGAGTATCGAAGGGGTGAGAAATGGAGCAGAGTGTGAAGAGAAAGAGAGACTCATAGCTGAATGGCATGTTGCTTGTGGGGTTGTTGTGCCCCACCAGCCAGCTATGTTGACGTTGCTCCTACTGGCCATTTTAATAAGTAACTTCTGCTAATTTAACCAGACAACTGAATAAATATATTACAACAAAGCAAGGGAATAATGTAACGGCAACTTCTTCCTCTCTCTCTCTCTCTCTCTCTCTCTCTCGCTCTGTTTTTTTTTTTTTTTGGTATAATACAGCGTTCTCTTTTTTATTTTTTCCTATTTCTCACACCTACACTTCGGATTCTTTGACATTTTTTTAATAATTTATTTGTCGCACAATTATTATCCTCTGTGGTGCGGTGACCATGATTACCCCGATGATTGCATCAAACTCCGGAAACTCCCCCAAACGGTAACAGTTAGAGCTGTTTCATCACTAACATCTTTTCTCTTGTTCTGTGCTTTTTTTTTTTCCTCCATAAAAAATAACCTCAGCTGTTAAAAAACTGTTCATAACTTCCGACCGAATACCACATGATAAAACTACAGTAAAAATAACAACAACAATAATGATGATGGTAACAAAGCTGAAGACACCAAAGAAGCGACCGTGTGGAAAAAACTGGAAAGTCTACGATGCTATGCCTATTTCCATCCCCCTCGTGCCTAGCTCTTTCATCAATGCAACGGAAGTCTTTTGTTTTGTCTCTTTCTACTGCCAAAAGTGAAGAGAGCGTGAAAAAGTAGAAGAACGAAGCTTGTGGGTTTCCACGAACAGCAACGGAGACAGAAAACGACATGATATGATTGATTCTGATCTGAAGATCCTTATTTCTCAGGCCTTGTAAGAAACGATTACTATATAGAAGGGCATTAATATTAATAATGCAGTAAGAAGCATGTCTGTTTAATCACAAATAATGTGAAGCTCCAAGAGTTATTGAGGCTCAGTAATTAATTCGATGCCCCCTCATTCTATTTTGAGTTAAAGGTTGGCGTCTCCAGAAGTGGCGCCAGTGTCCTTGCGGAGGCGTTCATGAATGAATTTATGCTATTCTCTCTGGTCGATACTGAGAATCACTGGGCTTTGTTTCCATTCTGAACCCACACTGCTCACCTAACGGCGAAACAAAGTCATCATGCACGTTGTTCTTTGGTTTGAGACAGTAAATAAAATGGACAATATGTCAATAACCCCACAAGAAACGAAGATCACAACGTCACTGTGGGTTGTAGACCACCATGCTGTTCTGTCGTCTCTGACATCTATTGCCTTCCTTTTTCTCTTCACCTTTTGGCAGCTTCTTCTTCTCACTGCACAAACATGTGTCTGCTTCTGCACTTCCCAGAAAGGCCTACAGATGAATATTTAGAGAGTCATTGGGCGGATTAAGGAGGAGGATCGTTGTTTGAGTGCTAAGTCTAATATTTAAACTGAAATGAAGGGATTTGGTGGTATTTGAAAGCCAATGATTTGTCGCTGCTCACGTGAACACAGGACTTGCGAGTATAAATATCTCTTTCAAACGGGTGGGAGCCATATCAGCGTCACTTTAAGATTAATTAATCCTACCAAATTTTCAGTGCATTTCTTGATGTTCCATCTAACTTCTAACACGTTATCTAGCTTATCTCTGCTCTCAGACTTCAACTTGCTTATACTTTTCCCCGCTTTGGTTATCAATCTCCTACCTATCCCTGTATTTGGATAGAGAGAAGAGTCAGGGGAAAGAAAAACAGAAAAACCACGTGAGAAGACGAAAGCGAAAATGAATTCGAAAGACTGGAACAAAAAGGAGCAAAACGCTAACGGGCTGCTCATTACCTCCTAACATGGTGAATGGTTTGAGGCGAAGATAAAAATGGTTATAGCTGTATGGGACTTGCTAATCCAATAGGATTGGATAATATGTTTATACTTAATGTCCGACAGCATCTTAAATATAATTGTTTCTAATAAAAGGTATCTCTTATAAAAAAAAAATGATATTGGATGTGAATTCTTTGGGCACGGGCTGCCTTTTTTCCCCCATTGAATGCAAATTCAGTTCCGTACTTGCACAGTCTTCTGCTAAGTGTATATTGGGCCTCATTACCTAAAAAAATGATCATTGGGCCTAAAGGGTGTTCAGTGGAATAAACCCTGGCCCCGTTGGACCGATTGGTCACCGTTGTTGTGGCCCATATTTCCAAGGAAACAGACAATGTGTTTTTGGAGCAACCTAAACACGCTATCATCATTATCGGCTTTCCCACGGCCCAGTTTTTTGGTAAATCCGACTTTTCCGTGTGCCCATTCCAAACTGAAAATAAAATTCAATTCTAATGTAATTATTTGTATTCCACCTATAAGGTTGGGTCTAGTAGAAGGAACTAATATCTCATAACGTAGTGAATCAAGATTCGAATTGGATTACCTTTAATAGAAGGATACCTATGCTTTAGCAAAAAAAAAAGAATATATTTGTATTCCTCAGTGGTTAGTATCTTATCTGTTCATCTTATTTCTTTTTTTTTTTTTAGGGCGATATGTGTCTTATTTCTAACTGTACATCATATTTCAAATTTTAAAATATAATTACTCTCTTACTGTCCTAAATATAACCAAAATTATCATAAGCGAATTCATTTTATCAACAAAATTCATAATTAACTTTGCAAGTGATCCTTATTGATTGCACATATTAAGAGAGCTTTAATCAAGAGTAATCTTGATACATTTTTTTATAAATAATAATTTTAACTAATTTTTTTTATATTTACAAATTATTATATAACGCTTATATCAAAGAACAGAATTAGTATTCTTTATTTTCACTGGTATTTTTATCAGATGAAGAGCGTTAAACAAAGATAGCTATGAGTTAACACAGCGTTAGTGGAGGGCAGAACTGAACAAATTATTAGTTATAAATAGTGGGAACTGAATGTAAAAACAAAGAAAAAGTGTGTTACGCAAACCAGTGTTTGGTACAACTATAAATTCACGAGGACACCGGATTTTCAAAAGACGAGAGACTTCAGAGTTCAGATCAGCAATTCAAATTTGCTGGCAAGTGAGCTACGCATGCGTCCATGCCTCACCCTCCCTCTCCCTCACCTAGACAGGACTTTATATTTTAAACTTTTTTAAACGAATTTTAATCGGTAATTGATTTCACAGGAGACGATAGATAAACACAATTAAAAAAAAATATCACTTAAGTTTCAAAATTTTAAATCAGAAATTACTATAAAAACATACTTTTAATTATATTTTAAGTATAATCAATTCTTATTAAAGTTTATAAAACATGACTAATTTATAATTTTAAAATTCGAGTAGTATTTTTTTTTTTTGGGATTTTCGCATGCAATAAACTTGTTTCAATATTCTCATGAGATTTTTCCTAGAAAAAAAAATCAATCTATTAATTTTATTTAAAATCATAAATGATTGATCAGCTTTATGTTTTTTCAGAAATACCGTATAACTATTGAGTATAATTTTAGAAGATGTCACTCTAATCTCAATTTTTTATGCTTGAACCTGTGATCAGGCTAGCTCGAGTCTAGTCCTAATACACAAAAGACGAGTATGCCCCTGGTAATTAAGCGGGGACAAGTGGCATAAATAAATTAAATACAGCATTAATAAGTGTTCTGAATGGGGAGGGGATTACCAAAACAAGGAGAGGTAATAATTGAGAGGAGCAATGGGATAAGACCACATTTTTAATTCAAAACATTAAAACTAAAAGCTTATAAGTTACTCCCTCCGTTCCTTATTATAAGAGACATTTGATGCTCATGGCATGTTCCTATATATAAGAGACACTTAAAAGTTGTCTCTACTTTTTTGTGTTGATTTCCTATTTTACCCATATTTATTTTATCTCTAATTCACACTCTCTCTCCCTCCTACTTCTCTTTCTTTTAATAATTTAATTGTACTCTCTCATGCTCTCTCTCCTTATTAATGAGGGCATTTTTGGAAAAAAAATTATACTTTTTACACATTGATTATTCTTAACTAATTTTAAATGCTTTTTTTATCAACGTAATTTGATTATTTGTCTCTTATAATAAGGAACGGAAGGAGTACTTCACTTTAAAACATTTATAAGTTCGACTTCACCCAAACTCAAGTTTAACGTGTCATAAAACTAATAATTTAATTAACAAAAATTGAAATTTTAGATGTTGAAAAAATTATTAAACATTAATGTGTTAAGTTCGGTCCAGAGAAAAATATCATATAAGTTAATAACATTAAAATTAGAAGACTGAAAAAGATAAAAGTGCGCCTTTCATCAAAATCAAGCGAAAGATTACACTCGGCTTGCAAATTGGGTTCACAGCATTATCACAGGATCGTACCTACCAAGTAACTGATCTCGCGTGAATCCGATGATACTGTACTGACAAACATTTGAAATAGTAAATGCACTGTAATAGTCGACCTTTCCATGTCCTTATTTCAGCTTCTGCCTCCCCTTCGGACAAACATAAATTTCTGAGTTCTCATGATCAGCGTCCCCTCGTAATTCCATTACACGGGAACACTGTGCAACACCACTGTCTCCACCGTCAGACCCGGCCCGAACCCGAACAAGACGCCCCACTCCAACCCTTCTCCGGTGGTGGCCTTGCCTCCATTCATCGACCTTTTCCTCACCTCGTCCAATATGAAGACAACACACGCGCTTGACATGTTTCCGTACTCGCTCAGAATGTGCCTGGTCGCTGCGAGCTTCTCTTCTTTCAGCCCCAGCTTGGCCTCCACCTGATCCAGAATCGCCGGGCCACCAGGGTGGGCGATCCAGAAGATGGAATTCCAGTCGTTGATGCCAATGGGATTAAACGCCTCCACCAAGCTCTTTTCAATGTTCTTCGAGATAATTCCGGGAACGTCCTTCAGCAAGTGGAACGTGAGACCCACTTCCCGCAGGTGCCCATCGATGGCTCCGTCGGAATCGGGCAAGATGGTCTGTGCCGCAGACACCAGCTCGAAGATCGGGCGCTCGATGGATGTGTCGGGATCGGCACCGATGATCATGGCTGCAGCGCCGTCCCCGAAGAGGGCCTGGCCCACAAGGGAGTCGAGGTGAGTGTCGGAGGGCCCACGGAAGGTGACGGCGGTGATCTCAGAGCAGACAACGAGAACACGGGCGCCCTTGTTGTTCTCGGCGAGGTCCTTGGCGAGCCGGAGCACGGTGCCTCCGGCGAAGCAGCCTTGCTGGTACATCATGAGTCGCTTGACAGAGGGTCTGAGGCCGAGGAGCTTGGTGAGCTGATAATCGGCGCCGGGCATGTCCACCCCAGAAGTGGTACAGAAAACGAGGTGGGTGATCTTGGACTTGGGTTGACCCCACTCCTTGATGGCCTTGACGGCCGCTTCTTTGCCGAGCTTAGGGACCTCAACCACCACCATGTCCTGACGAGCGTCCAAAGACGGGGCCATGTAAGCGCACATGTTGGGGTTCTCCTTCAACAGCTCCTCCGTCACGTGCATGTACCGCTTCTTTATCATAGATTTTTCACCTGAAATCACACAAGTTACAGTTCAACAAGACGTTCCATGAAATAAAGAATCAGGTGAAAGAAAAGGAGACAAATGCGTGTATATGCAATATACGTACACATGCGCTTGAACTTCTCTTTGAGATCGGTCATGTGCTCGCTCTGAGTGATGCGGAAGTAGTAGTCGGGGTAGTCAGCTTGGAGGACACAGTTAGAGGGGGTGGCGGTGCCGAAGGCGAGGATGGTGGCGGGGCCACGGGAACGCTGGGCGTTGCGGATCTCTTCGACAGTGACCATCTTGGAAATTTATGGAAGATGAAGAAGAAGAGGGAGGAAGTGGGAAGGTCCTGGGTTTGTGGAGTAGCAAGTGAGGCGAGATGGGGAAGGAGTGAGCAGGGTTTAAATACGAGAGTGGAATGAGGGAGGGGTAGGTAGAAGGGACGGGCAGCTGAGTGTCCACGTGGTTTGATAAACGCTGCGGTAGATGCCATTCTCTTAGTAGCACCACCACACACACACACATTTCTAACACGTGAAAGCTCAATAGCCGTTCCACCAAAACTGTTCAAATTGACAGTAAGCCCCGTCTAATTATACTTACTATTATTGGCTCTTTCACTTTTATAATTTAAACCTTTGATTAACATTTAGCGGAGACAGCTGTGCTTCATACCATACTGGTTTGCCGAAAGAATTAACTGTGTTTTTTTAAGCAGAAAAGGCCGCAAATTAAAAATCTGTGAAAGTATAGAATGCGTGCTCTGCTCCCAATATTCTGAAGACACAGTAATAATTTTATTGTTATCACTGTAAAACATACAGAAAGAATTACAATCAAGTATTACTAAAAAAAATATTAAAAGTACTTAATAATAACACGACTTGTGACAAGTCGTAGAATAAAAAATACTCCTCCGGTCCTAATTATAAGACCCAATTAACTTATTTGAGGAGATTAAGGAAGTAAGTTAAGTTGGTTATTTATAATAAATAAGTGTTGTTATTCCTAAAATATCTTTACTAATTAAGTATATTGGCTAAAACTATTATTATTAGAAGGATTATCTTGGAAAAAAATGCATAAATATAAAAGAGAAAATAGATTGGGTCTTATAATTAGAACCAATAAAAGTCAAATTGGGTCTTATAATAAGGACCAGAAGAGTAATAACTTTCAAAACTTGTTTTGTAATTTTTTTTATTTTGTTAGGATTTTATTATAATTTTCTCAAATATATATGAGTCTCTCTCTACTGTGGGACCAGAAGGAAAACGTTGCGCAGGATGATGAGTTTGGTCGTGACTTTTCGCGATCAGTCTGTTTGGGAGATCAAGTGGCTGCATTTCGGAAAGAAGAACGTGTCTGCCAACCTCTTTCTCTCCTCTTCCCTCACTTAATCTCTTTATTATTAGGTTAATTTTTAATTGTTGAGATTTAAAACCAAGTAAAAGTATTATTATAATATTAAGTATAAAAAAATTTACCATGTTAAAACACTTATCTCAAATTTTAACAGTATAAATTTATTGATTTACTTTTTATTATTTAATATTTTTATAAAATACCCCTCTGATCCTATTTATAAGGCAGAGAGAGGAAATTTTTTTTGTTGTATTTATAAGACAATGAGAGTAATTTTTTGTATGAATGTATAATTTTACTCTTTATTTATTATTACTTTGAATTTATTTACATATGATATAATGTATATTAAATAGGAATAAAATTTAAAATTAATAAATTTTAAATTATAATTAATAAAATTTAATATTTTTTTACCATGTTAAAACACTCATCTCAAATTTTAACAGTATAAATTTATTGATTTACTTTTTATTATTTAATATTTTAATAATATTCTTATAAAATACTCCTCTGATCCTATTTATAAGGCAGAGATGAAAGTTTTTTTTTGTTGTATTTATAAGACAATGAGAGTAACTTTTTGTATGAATGTATAATTTTACTCTTCATTTATTATTATTTTGACTTTATTTACATATGATATAATGTATATTAAATAGGAATAAAATTAAAAAATTATTAAATTTTAAATTATAATTAATAAAATTTAATATTTTTCTTATTTTACATGAAATATATTGAAAATGATTTATAAATAGAAAATAGATCTCAACTGCTAAAATTTGACTTAAAGGTCAAAAAAATAGGTGGAGAGAAAAGTTTGGGAATTCATCAGATTCCTCACCTGTGATAACACGGTACGCAGCAAAAGCGAGCAAAAGCCACGCCCCTAGGCCTCGCTCCATTAATGGAAATTAAGGGCTCGTTTGGATTGCTGTTACAAATGGCTAAAACACACGGAAAAGCGTGAAACTGAGGTTTGTGGTTTATTGTAGCTCAGAAGATTGTTTGGATGATGTTTCTTTTTTAACTGACTTATGGAAAAAAAGTAACTTTTCTAACTGACTTATCCAATGTAATCTTGATCAACTTTTCTAACTGACTTATGAGAAAATTGTGCAAAGCTTACAATTTAATTAGTTATGTGATTACATTTACTTTAATTAGAGACCAAATAAATTTTAATTTATATTCATGTTTGTACATTATGTATATTTAATTAATTATCTATAATGTATTTTCAAATTTTTCTTCGTAACAAATATTTTTATTCTATAATTTCACAAGTAAACTATTTATATTTTATCATAATAATTTTACGTGTTTTTTAAACTATTATCACATTAAAAATATAAAATTTCAAATATTACTCCATGCCCTTTTCAGTTATTTTACAACTAAACTAATTTTTCTATTAATCATCCAAACAACTTTTAACTTTTTCAACTGACTTTTTAAAAGCACCTATCCAAATATAAATTGCATTACACTAATTGACTTTTACTCTAACTTCGGTTATAAAAGTCAGTTGGGTTAGAAGTCAGCTTTGCCCAACACCAATCCAAACATACCCTAATTGATGCGATGATATTGGAAGAAGGCAGAAACCAGAATTTAGGGTGTGTTTGGATTAGCGGTGGAGAAGTAACTTTTTTTTTCAATCTGACTTTTACAGAAGTCAGATTGAGTAAAAGTCAAATAGAGTAATGTGATTTATGTTCGGATTGGGTTTTAGAAAAAAGCCAGTTTGATAAGCTGAAACTTGTTTGGATGATAAATGTAAAAGTAAGTTTGGATGTAAAATGACTGAAAAGGATATAAATTTTATTAAATGACATATATATATTATGTACATAATGTGAAAAGTTTAAGAGAAATATTAAAATTAACAAATTATAAAAATAAAAATAGCTCTAAAGTACTTAATTAGATATGTTTAATGGATAAAAAATGTATATTTTAAATAATAAAATAAATACAATGATGCAGATATATTTGAATAATCCCTTCATATTAGAGATATTTGGACTAACTTATTTGAATATAAGATTTTAGATAATGAAATAACAAACAAAAAGATACATTAACAGAAAATAAAAAGGTTTTGGCTTTTTTTTTAACCCCAAAATATCTAATCAATTCTCCTCACTCCATCGCCTGCCTTCTCCACCCCTCCCCAACCTTGCCTCTGTCAATTCGTCCTTGATGGCAGCAACAATAATCATTCACAGCCTCTCCTCACCTCAGCGTCTCAAAATCCCTCTCAAATCTCAGCGTCTCAAAATCCTTCTCCCCACCTCAATGTCTTATAATTTCACAAACCCACCATTGTATCTCTAAGATTCTTTTGCTTCTTCTCTGGCAAAGAAAAACAGAGCATCTCATAATCATTCTCAGAAAAAGGTTTGTTAATTTTCATCCTGTCCTTGGGTAGAAGGGCAACTTGGATAGATAACAAATTTAAGGGGCTCATGATGTTGCCGCACCGTGATGCACCAAAAAAGCTACTTTTTGTGGCTTCTGCTCCACCATGCGATAGAAGAGAAAAGGACTTTTTAGACAATCGTGAATCCAAACAAGAGAAATAGTCAGAAGTTGTTTTTTGCGATGTAGAAGTTACTTTTGGGGTCACCAACGTGATCCCAAACACACCCTATGGCGGTCAGGTCTGGTGGTTGGACACCAGGATTGTGGCAATTAAAGGTAAAACCACCTCAAACTGGAAGATGCGGTTTAAGCGGCTTATTATTATCATCATTCCCATTTTTCTTTCTGCTCTTTTTTTCCCAAAAAAAAAATTATAATTATAATAACGTTGATGCGGTCTTTTTTTCATTAACTGAGAAATTTGCTGTGCGATTTAAATGTATAATGATCGCTACGGACTCCCCAGAACACTGCCGAGTTATATGTCTACTCCTTTAATCTTATTTACAAGTTACTTCCAATATATTTCATACAAACAAAAAAAAACCTTAAATTTCATTAACTCTTATTTAAAATTTGATAATTTTTTAACTTTATTTCTATTTAATATACATTATATTTCGTGCAAATAAAATTAACACAACAATAAATAAAAATAAAATTGTGTATCTATATAAAAAATTTCTCCTACTGTCATAAAAATATAGTTAAAAAATATCGTCTTTCTTTACTTCATAAATAGGGCAAAAAACAGGGACCAGGGGAGTGTATATTTTAAAACCCCGGAGTACATTAATGCTGTTCTTGACCAAGTGTTCGACGTTGCCTTGACCGACTCATTCCAAATTGATGACAAGGAGTTGGGTTGTTATTTATTTAGAAGACGAACAAATAAAGGCATTCTAATACATCCAAAATAATAATTCTGTCTTTGACGAAGTCTAAATATATTAAATAAAAAAAATTAGGTTAAATTTTTTATACTTAGTATGTCAAGTTCTCCTAAAAAAACTTAATCTAGGGATTATTCTTATATTATAAAAAAGACTCAAAATACGTTATGAGCAGTCAAAATGGGCATAATGTTTGCAATAATACATATGAAAGTGGACTCGAAACGGTACGTACGGCTTGGTTCAGGAAGTGCCTGCTGTTAGAACTAAGCACGCATACCTAGTCATGTTGTTTAAATTGTCTTGGAATTAAACAGACTTAATTTTGCAAGTTGTGACTTGTTTTGCTCCACAACAATGTATCCCATGAGCACAATCAGATTATATTTACTTTTTGACGGGAAACAAGTGTCTCAGCGTCCCGCAAAGGAAATCATCAGAACTGCCGACAGGTATTTTTAGCGTATCAGCGGCTGATAAATTTAAGCGTATACTCTTATCCCAAAGCCACGTTTAGGACAAGTTTTGATTGGCAAAAAAGGGGTTAATCACAAAATCAGTTTTAGTACTCATCACTTTGATGATCACTTTAAGATCGTCAGATCTGAATCATCTATATCTGATTTGAACTGTCTATATTTAAAATTTTTAATTAATTATTTTTAAATAATTTTTGGA